GGACTGGTAATGTTGACGAGTATCATCACGTCTGGGCTCGTTGCAATTTGGTATCGGAGCAGATCTTCCGATAGTGTGACAGAGACGACAACGACAAGTGGTGGCATCTACGACGAAGGCTGACGTGGACAAGACAGCACACGTCGGATTCTGACGTGGCATTGACATGGCCTTTGTATACATGCCCGATGCTGACATGGCAATGACGTGGCATTGATAATAGCGCATGTCATATGCTGACGTGGCATCAACGTGGCATCGATATTTGGAGAGTGTAGTATTGCTGACGTGGCCGGTGGATGATAGCAGATTGATGATGTGGCATTGCTGACTCACCATTCCGTGAGATAGGAGGCTGACGTGGCAGTGTCATATTCAGTTACCTGGCTTACGTGGCGCGTTGGTACCGCTCCTAACGTGTACCCCCTCGATGATGTTGACTGGATTACGGTGCTGACGTGGCAGACAGAAGTGCTGCTGTGTTCACACTTCAGGGGTACACGTGGCAGGTTGGAACTTCGACTTCGGGGCGGGCTGGCACTTCGCTTTCAGCATACATTGCTGACGTGCACCCCATTGATGATATTGATTGACCTGCTGACCTGGCATACTCATCGAATTGCTGAGTTGGCAGGCCAGGGGTGACACGTAGCAGGCACGACCGTGCCTAAGTGAGGACAGCATTCTGATGACTGAGGCACGGCAAGAAGACTGATGTGGCTGTGGTGTCGAACGTCAGATGCTGGTCACACAGGACAAAGAAGGACGAAACAGCAAGAAGGGGAAAACGCTAACTATTGATTGATTTTGTTGGCGGACTTACCTGTTGTCTGGCTGTGTTGTGGGCCTGTGCACTCACTTGTGTTTGTTGATGATCATGTTGGCCTGGAGTCACGGTACCTGAGATAGAGTAGGATGTCATCACGTTTAAGACAGAACAGCAAATAGAATTAGAAAACTTTTGTTCCTTATTATTATTCTTTTTGACTCAGACAGAGTGTTGGGGCAAAAATTATTGTCTTTTGTTGTTTATTTTGCGGTAGGATAATCTGGCCAACGAATTTTCCTGTTTTTGTTCGCCCAAAATGTCTTACTTCTGGAAATTTTTGCAACAGTCTATCTTGACGAGATTTGTGACCACTTTCTTGTTCCCTATTCCAATTGCACTTTCCGTTGGAGAAGGACCGTCTGAACCTAGGACAAGGGGACAGGCTGATAAGAAGAGAGAAGAACTGTTGGCTTTGTGGAGTCAGTTTCTAATTGAGGTACAGCTGTTTGGACCGGATGATGAGCAACACATCCGTGATAATTTCGATCTTCAGGAGGTTGAAGACCGCCTGAAGAAGTCTATCCCGACTGTGGAGGTTGTGGCAGCCGGTACAGAGGCCTCCACACTGATTGCTCAGGGGCGACAGGCTCTAGACCAGCTTGCTTTGAAGCAACTGGAAGAGATTATGGAAGCTACTCGTAAAGGGGAGGTGAAACCAGAAGTAAGTGAGGAAACGATTGATGCTAACATCCAGCAGCTCAGAGATACTCTGGCTGCCGAAGAAAGGAAGAAGGAAGAATTAGTCAGAAGAAGAGAACAGGAATAGCGAAGGGGACAAAAGGTTAAAGAGATCAGACAAGTCGTAGGAGCAGAAGTCGGTGAACAGACTGCCATGTCACAAACGTTGGCTCATATTGTGACATATCTTACCTTTCTAGAGGAGAAGATTGATAGACAGCAAAATTAGTTGGAAGAAATCACTGTTGGATTGAGAACAATTGCTAATATTGTGAAAGGTAAGAATTAGATTCAGGGAGAAGAAGAACAAGAAGAGAAGAAGGAGAAGAAAGAAGTAAAGAGGTTGATGGGGGACGCAATAAAGTCTGCTGGTCCCGTGATAAAGACAACGACTAATGGAAATGGATCCAATGGAAATGGATCAAGTCCACCATCTACTCCTCACTCTTCTCATTCTTCTAAGTCTACTCCTGAAGGAACTCCAGAAAAGACAAGCACTGAACCCGAAAAACCGAAGAAGAAAGAAAAGGTGAAGATGAAGTTGCCGTTTACGTTTTGCAACAAGAAAGAAGAAAGTCTGTTGTTGTGGATTGCAGAAATCCAGACGTATGTGAGTACCGCACCGGTCGAGCCGGAGTCCCAAGTCGCRTTCACCACTTCTTGCATGGGTGGTGAGGCCAAGCAATGGGTGTTGGSCGARGCCAATGCRGCGGGTTTCGAAGATATCGGTGAGTGGGCAAAGACATTGACGCTGAAACAGTTCTTGGCGAAAACCAGGGACCGTTTCCTCGACAAGACGACGACCGACAAGGCCTTTGACCAGTTAACGTCAATTGGTCAAAAGCATTGGACGTCAGTTGAGGCTTTGTCCCGAGAAGTTGACCGATTGATGCAGGTTCCTGGATTGGACTTGCAGGACAGCCAAGTGTTGTACTTCTATTCCCGCGCGTTGCCTGAGCCCATCCGGGGACACTTCATCACTGAAGCGAAATCCTCATTCAAAAAGGTGAAGTACGCTCTGACTCACTACCCTGTTCTAAAAATTGTTGATCCATCTCTTCCCTTTCTTGTCACAACTGATGCAAGTCAGTATGGGATTGGCGCAGTTCTTCAACAGAACGACGGCAATGGCTACAGACCGATTGAGTTTATGTCTGCACGATTGCCATCTGAAAAGGTTGCCAATTCTACCTATGAAAGGGAATTGTATGCGTTAGTCTGTGCCTTAGACACCAGGAAACACTATCTACTAGGGAGACACTTCACTGTGTACTCAGACCACTCTACCCTGAAGTGGATAAAGACACAGCCTAGGCTCTCTAATAAGCTAGTACGATGGTCTGCATCTATTGATACTTTTGATTTTGAGTTGAACACTATCAAAGGTAAGTCTAACGTGGTTGCAGATGCATTGTCTAGAAGATGTGATTTCTTTGGTGCCATTGTCTCTTACCTAGACGTTGGGAGTGATCTGAAAGATAGAATTCGCCAAGGTTATGTTAATGATCCTATATGGAAACCTATCATGGATGTTCTTGCGAAAGACCCGAGTCTACTTCCCAACTATAAGATAACCATGGTTTGCTTTTCTTGTTAGACCAAACTGAACAGCGATCGTGTATTCCTCACCCGGAAGAAATCAAAAGTCTGATTATTGGAGAATGTCACGACGCCGAAGGTCATTTTGGTTTCAAGAAAACCTACGCTGAAGTTAGAGAACGCTTGAATGGAAGGGATTAAAAGAGGATGTACTAACTTATGTTCGTACTTGTCTTGTGTGTCAGATAAACAAACCCTCACATGAGAACCCACTTGGTCTTCTCAGACCGTTACCAATTCCAAGCGAACCAGGTGAGTCTCTCCATGGATTTCATGAGTCTCACCAAAAGTCGAAATGGCAATAGCCAGGTAATGGTAATTGTGGATCGTTTCTCCAAATATGCTATGTTCATTCCCTTACCCGAAAAAGCCAGAACGGAACTTGTGATCCAAAAGTTTTAAATGTGATGGGTGACTGAGTATGGTTTCCCTTTATCCATTGTATCTGATCGAGATACCAGGTTCACAAGTATGCCATGGCAAAAGCTAATGGAGGCATACGGTACACGTCTAACCATGTCGTCAGGTAGACACCCTGAAACAAATGGGCAAAGTGAACAAATTAACCGTTTGTGCCAACAGCTTCTGCGCATGTATGTAAGACCCGATCAAATAGATTGGGATGAGAACTTACCTAAGATAGCAAGTGCATATAGTAGTAGTGTTCATACCTCTACAGGACGAACACCTAACGCACTGCAAAAAGGGTGGAAACCTAAGTGTCCCATTGATGTATTTACAAGGGACCAATTTCTTAGGTTACCTCCAGAGACCCGCGAATACGCAATATTGTTTCAAGAAGACATTAAAAAGGTAAAGGATAACTTAAAGAAAGCTCAGGACCGGATGATCGAACAAGCTAATAAGCATCGACGACCATCAACGTTCAAAGAAGGTGATTTGGTCTGGGTCAAGTCTAAAGAGTTTTCACTAGAAGAAAATGTATCTCAGAAACTTCTGACCTGTCTATTTTGGACCCTGGGAAGTTCTTAAAGTGATTGGAGATACAGGGACCGTCTTACAGGATTGATATACCCCCTCGTCTCAGGACCTATTTTGTTTTTCATGCGTCGATGTTGCTACCTTATGTAGAAGGAGATGAATTCCCCCATAGACCATCTATGATACCGCCAGATGTGGATGGTGGATATGAAGTGGACCGAATTATAGAACAAGGRTTCTTCTCTACAGGTGCACGAGGACGACCCCAGAAGCAATTCAAGGTTCGTTTTAAGAATCAGAGCCCATCTGAGGACAGATGGTTTAGTAAAAGAGAACTCCTTGAATCTGCTCCTGATATTGTCTCTGCTTATGAACGTGGGTTGAAGTCTTAAATATTTMTGCGATGGAACTCGAAATTTGGGTCGGCAGGAATGCAGTAACCCTGTTCAGCAGCAGACCGGGGCTCAGAACTTTGCCCCCGGTAAGACACAAACTCAGTTGTCTGCGCTGGGCTATGTGACCGAGACATGCCCAGCCTGAGTCTGTCAAGGAGGCTGTGTGACCGAACGCAGCACAAAGGAAATTCA